TCTGTGTGTGTGTGTGTGTGTGTGTTTCTGTGTGTGTGTGTGTGTTTCTCTGTGTGTGTGTGTGTGTTTCTGTGTGTGTGTGTGTGTGTTACCACAGTTCCACTCGTCAGAACTGTCTGAACAGTGCTTCTTCCCGTCACACCACAGAGTCCGATGGACACACTGGTGGTTGTTACAGGACAGCTCGTTGTCTCTGCACACGGCTGAGGACACATCGATCAATAATCAATATTTGGTAACAGTGGAATGACACCGGCTGATGATGATGATGATGAAGAGTAGCAGTCTCACAGCAGTTGGTCTCGTCCACCAGCAGGGGGCAGTCTGGGAAGCCGTCACAGATCATGCTGGCTTTGATGCACACCTTGCTGCCGGGACACTCCCACAGAGCGCGCTCAGAACAGCCTGACAGACAGACAGGTGACATCATCACTGACATCATCTCTGACATCATGTGCTGCTGCTGGGAGGGACTCTTATTTTGAGGTGTCTCACCACAGTTGTCCTCGTCGCTGTGGTCGTCACAGTCCAGGTGTCCGTCGCAGCGTTTGGACGCCAGGACGCAGCGTCCCGACCGACACTTGAAGTGGCTGGGGGAGCACTCTGTCGCCATGGCAATGCATCAGAAACAACAACAAGAACAACGAGGTAAACATCTAAATATGACTGAAAATAAACTTTTCTTCAGCACTGTTGCCGTGACGACAGGGTCCGTACCGTCGACGCCGGGCTCCGGCAGCAGGCAGGTGGCGTTTCCCGCCTCCTCCGGAAACTGACTACAGTCCGAGTCCTCAGGCCACTGCAATCCCACAATGCCGAGCACCGACTCACACTTCTCCTTCGCACTACGACACAACGACCTGCGGGGCGAGAGACAGAGAGAGAATAACTAGTCCTGATCATTAACTAACTCACTAGTTACTAACTAACTGAGCGACACACTAACTACCACAATAATTAACTAACTACATGACTGACTAACTAACCCAGACACTAACCAGTGACAGATTGACATAAATCATTGTCTGATTAATTTCCTGACTGACACTTAACTACCTAAAAGACAGAGTAACTAACTAACTAACTGTAGTTTGTCAGACTAACCGTTGGACTGACAAACTAACTGGTTCACCTCATGGAGCTAACCCTGACTAAATAACTAGATGACTATGACTAACTAACAAAACTGGACCCTCTGCAGGCTGACAGTGGTGGGTTAACAGACTAACTAGTAGCTGACCTGCAGTGGTAGATTAACAGACGAACTAGTAGCTGACCTGCAAGGCGGGACCCTCTGCAGGGTGTCAGTGGTAGGTTAACAGACTAACTAGTAGCTGCCCTGCAGTGGTAGATTAACAGACGAACTAGTAGCTGACCTGCAAGGCGGGACCCTCTGCAGGGTGTCAGTGGTAGGTTAACAGACTAACTAGTAGCTGCCCTGCAGTGGTAGATTAACAGACTAACTAGTAGCTGACCTGCAGTGGTAGATTAACAGACTAACTAGTAGCTGACCTGCAAGGCGGGACCCTCTGCAGGCTGACAGTGGTAGGTTAACAGACTAAGTAGTAGCCGACCTGCAGAGTGGTGGGTTAACAGACTAACTAGTAGCTGCCCTGCAGTGGTAGATTAACAGACGAACTAGTAGCTGACCTGCAAGGCGGGACCCTCTGCAGGGTGTCAGTGGTAGGTTAACAGACTAAGTAGTAGCCGACCTGCAGAGTGGTGGGTTAACAGACTAACTAGTAGCTGCCCTGCAGTGGTAGATTAACAGACGAACTAGTAGCTGACCTGCAAGGCGGGACCCTCTGCAGGGTGTCAGTGGTAGGTTAACAGACTAAGTAGTAGCCGACCTGCAGAGTGGTGGGTTAACAGACTAACTAGTAGCTGACCTGCAGAGTGATGGGTTAACAGACTAAGTAGTAGCTGACCTGCAGAGTGGTGGGTTAAAAGACTAACTAGTAGCTGACCTGCAGAG